TTCTATTTTTAATATTTAAAAAAACTCTGTGACCACTCCTGGTCTCCAAGCCTTGTACATAATTTTTTTGACTTATCTGAGATGCTTTAAACAAAAAAAATTTAAAATCTTCCAACTTGATTCTAATTGTGTGGTTTAACTTTGCCCCCTTAAGCCATTCAGTAATCAAAAGATATCTAGGCCAGCTAGTGTCTGGTGTTTTCATAACAGAGCAGATATGCAATAAATATGTATGCAAGATATGTAACTACTCCAAAAATTAGAAAAGTTCAGATTTGCTAGCCAAATGTTTAATTAAAGACTATATTTCACCAAGACACCACTAACAACACCTTGACTTTCACTTATCTGACTTCATGCCTTGTACATTGTTTATCTGCGCTTGGTGTCTTCCAGATTACTAAGGATTTGCCAATTTTTTAAATAAAGAACTACTTATTTTTTAAATAAAGAACTACTTATTTTTTAAATAAAGAACTACTTATTTTTTAAATAAGAAATTTGTTTTACTTATTTTGCTGTAGTATGTTTTTATTTCAATGTTTGTTTTTCTTTATTTCATATTACTTTTTTATTTCATTAAAACAGTTTATAACAAGAACAAGAATAACAGATCGTCTTCATTCTTTTCTGTTTGATTTTGAGATTTTCTCTTGATTTTTTACAACCAACAATTTTTTAATTTGATATACTTTTTTACTACTTAATAGTGCACTTAACAGTACAATTGTTAAAACGTTTGAAACATTTCAAAAGTTATATAGTTTATTATTAGACTTGGTTGTTTTGACCAAATTATCTGTGGGATGGAAATTCCAATGTTAATAGTGATTTTTATTGCAACTTTTCAAAGGAAATTTGACTTTTAAACAATTTTCCACCAGTTCATTGCTTTAGTTTCAGTTTTCTACATGGAACTTTATCTATGCTTTGGTCCAATTCTTCCCATGTTAGAAAGTTTGGTAGATATTTTAAAGGTTTTCTGGGAAAAGTTATAAGCTAAAATCAAATATTTACTTCAGAAAAATGCTCTTTTTATGCCAAAATATAAAAGTGCAACAAGTCAAGTTATTTTTTTTCTCATAAAAATTTTAATTCAAATTATTAAAAAATATCATATTTTTCTAAGTAAACAAGGAAATGTAGTGAAATGTAGTTTTTTTTTTTAATTTATTAACATAAATACTTATTTAAAAATAAAATAAAATACAGTATTTATTTACATAAATACTGCAGAAATATATGGCAAAACAATAAATGCTTTTTTATTAACATCTCAATAAATAAACTGATTTGGTAATTTTAATTAACACAAAACTTATTTTATAATTTAAATGACAAATAAAATATGATTAACTTGTATTTCCAGAAAACTATCTGGATATTCAGAAAGAAAAAAAAATGTGCAAAAGTATCCGGAATTCCGGAAATATCCGGAAAAGATAATCCTTGTATTTATTACTATTATTTATTTAATAAAAATACTGTCTTAATGTTACTTAATATTTGATAAAAATGTCTTAATGCTTCTTAATGTTTAATAAAAATGCTGCACATGTCTTAATGTTTCTTAATGTTTAAAAAAAATGCTGAACATGTTTTAATGTTTCTTAATGTTTAGGTATATCAAATTTGTGAGTTTGTTTTTGAGCCTACTTTTGTATATAAAGGAGCAAACATATTCAAATGTAATCATTTTTAGTTGGTTGATAATTGCTATGTCATAATGGACAATTAATTGCAACCAGATCACATTCAACACTAAAATAGGTAAAAGAAAAAAACTGATAATGCCAAAAGAGGATTTCAGGGTGTGTGCAAAATATGTTTATAGTGGTATCTTGGTGTCAAATAGTCTTCAATCAAACATTTATCAAAATCTGAATTTTTCTAATTTTGGAGTAGTTAAATATTTTGCATATCTGCTCTGTTGTAAAAACACTTAGACTCTAGCAGGTCTAGACATCTTTTGAATTTGGCATTATAAGTTTTTTTGATAATATATTGTAATATTTGTAAATAGGTAGTAGCTAGTTGATTTTACATACTAATTAATTGTATATATATTAAATATAAAAAAAGATTTTTAGTTTAAAACTTTGTATAAAAACTTTTTTCAAACTAAATTTTTGGAAAAGGTCAAAAGAAATTATAATATATGAATATATTGCATATTTATTATTTTCCATTATAAATTATTTATTACAACAATCATCATAGCAAATTATCTTTACAGTGTTTAATCCTTACAAAAAAAAATTTTTTGTAAGGATTAAACTATTGCCTTATTTGTATGGAAAATAGAACTTACAAAAACTAAAAAATGTACAGAGAAAGTGCTGTCTTTTTGCTGCCTGACTTTTTTCATTGAATTTACGGCAAAGTATTTTACAGTGTAACTAGCCTGTTCATAAAAAAATAGTTGGTAAAATTTAAAGAGCAATAAAATCATAAACTGAAATGTTTTTTAAAATTTGGAAAAATTGTAACTCTGAAAAAGCCAGGACATTATTATCTATGTTAATACCATTACTTTTGCATTTTATGTAGATGCCTTTTTGAAAAAGAAAAACTTGTAGAAAACAGCCAAAAATCACATGAACAAGCCAATAAAATTGATAGCAAAAATATGACAGTCAATTAAAATAGATTACGCTAATAAAACAGACAATAAATCGATTTCATAAAACTAAAAAGCAAAAGAAATCAATCAAATTAATTCTAATAAATTTTGTTGTTTGTTTTTACTTTTTGAAATTTAAGTTGTTTTGTGGTTTTTTTAAAAATTTACAAAATTTAAAAAAAAACATTTATTTGGATATTATTTAAATATTATTAAATATTATATCGGAGTGCTCTGCAAAACACATCAAATAAAAACTAAATAAAAAAATAATGTAAATTGTAATTATGTAATAAATATATTTAAATACATTTATATTAATGTAAAAAAAATAATAATAAATGTAATAAAATGTAAATTAAAAAAAATAGTAATATATATAATAAAATATAAATTAAAGAAACAATAAATAAAAGTGTTCAATTTTTTTATTTTTTTTTTATTTTGATTCACTCCCAACAAGGCTGCAAGCAACCACTATTAAGTTGGGAGTTGCTAGAAAAAAAAGAATAGAGTTAAAAAGTAAGGAGACAAATGACAGAGACTTAAAAAGCAGCAACCATGTTAGTATTTGTAAAAAAGAGAAAGAGATACAACTTTATGACAATGGAAGAGAAGCTCAAGCTTGGGAGATTTAGACCTTGTCTAAAAGAGAAAGAGTATCATTGGAAGAACCAAATCATATAACAACATTTATCATATATATAACAACCCAAATATAACAACAGTATTCCATACAGGGGAAAATAAGAGATTTGTAGAGGTAGAGAATAGTAGAGAGTGAGAAAATGGCAAGCACAATAAAGAGAAGCAACCTTAACAGATGCTATCTTAGCAAGTGTTTGTATAAATGTTTAATATGAGAGCTTAGTAGTGAACGAAAATCCAATAAGACATAAAAAATATAACTCAGTAAGAGGGTTTCCATTCATCAATAAAGGAATGTAAACAGTATAGTGATAGTTGTTTGCAGTAAATAACTTATTTTGTTTAAGTTAAAATTAACAACCTACTGCAAGTCACAGTCTGTTACAAAGGTGAGATCAGATTCAAGATAGGCTGCTTGTTATAAGCGATTGAAAAGAGAAGACTTATTAAGAAAGGAGAAAAATTGAGTCATCAGCAAATAGAGGCACTTTAGATGTAAGGTTGTCAGGAAGATCATTAATATAGATAAGAAACAAAACAGGACTAAGGATAGAACCTTAAGGTACCCCAGAAGTTACTAGAAATGAAGAAGTCTTTGAGGATGACTTAATAAAGTGGTTAGAAAGAAATGATTTGACAACTTAAAAAACTTTCCCAAATACACCATAAGAAGCAAGCTTATTAAGAAGACCAGCATGCCAAACTTTGTTGAAAGGTATAGATATGTCGAGAGCAATAGCCCTAGCCTCACCACCTCCATCTTATGAACAATAAAATCTTTCAGCCACAGCAGTTAGCAAATCAGCCGCAGAAAGAGGATCAAAAACCGTATTGGTGGTCTAGCAGTAAGTTACTTGACTCAATAAAATATGTTAAAAATTTTTTGATCAAAGAAAAATGAGATTTTATGAATATTATAAATATTCCTAAAATTCTGGTGCACTAAGAATTTTGTTAACATTGCTATAACTTTTTTTTTTTAAGAATCTGGTGTACTAAGAACTTTGTAAACACCGCTATCATAAATATCTTTAGAAATAGTGCATTAGCATTTTGAAAACACCTCCATTATAAATATTCCTAGAAATCTGGTGCAGTAATAAATTTGTTTACACCGCCATCATAAATATTCTTAGAAATCTGGTGCACCAAGAACTTGGTAAACACCGCAATCATAAATTTTCCTAGAAATCTAGTGCACTAAAAACTTTGTTAACATCATCATTATAAATATTTGTAGAAATGCCATGCACTAAGAAACTGTGTTAACATTGCCATCATAAATATTCCTAGAATATTTATGATGGCAATACTGGTACACTAAGAACCAAATAGAAACATTTAAAATGCTGAACTGTAAAAAAGATATAGAAGTATAACATTCTAAAATAAAAAGAGTCATAATTCAGGATTAAAGATTTATATGAAGGCATGAAGAATTAAGATATGCACTGCATTCTATATACTGCATAATATGCAGAAAAACACAGAAAATGAGATATGTTGTTACTTTAAAAACAAATAAAGACAGCAAGGTTAAAAAGAGTAAACATGTATGATAGAGCTAGAAAATATTAAATTTATGAATATGAAATGCATGCAGTAGTTTTAAGCTAAGACATTCATAAAAATTAATGTGTTTTTAAATAAAATAAAATAAGACATGTTTTTAAATAAAAATCTAAAAAACAGGAACAACAGAAAGAACAGGAACTTTATAAAATTTAACCTTTTCATTTCCTGCTTTCTTTTTTGAATTTCTTCTTTCACAAGAGCAATTTTCCTTAGGTTGTATTACTTCTTCCATTCCATTTCGAACAGTTGGTGGTGTTGATTGTCTTTTTGCATATTCCTAATCAAAATTTTCTGTAACAGTTTAACACAACACTACATTACAACTTAAATACAGACTAACGCTTTAAAACTGTCAACAAAAAAACTAAAATCTTCCCATAGAAATTCATCTACCCATAGATGAATATATCTATATATCCAACCATAGATATTCATCTTCCCATAGATGAATATATCTATATATCCAACCATAGATATTCATCTTCCCATAAATGAATATATCTATATATCCAGCCATAGATGTTCATCTTCCCATAGATGAATATATCTATATATCCAACTCTAGATATTCATCTCGAGTTTTATTTGATAAAAGACCAATCAAAATAAAGAAAAAGCATAAAGTTAATCAAAAACAAATTTGGTTTATTTACTACTCGTAGCATAAACCAGAAAAGTTTATCAAAGTTTCAAACTAAAAACTGGAAACACTTTCTAATTGTAATAGTCAAGATTTATTATTGAATTGCATGCATATAATAGACTCAAGATTTGTTGTTGTTATTATTAAATGTATATAATTCAATAATAAATCTGTACGCATGTATGAATGTATGCATGTGTGTGTGTGTGTGTGTCTATATATATATATATATATATATATTATATATATATATATATATATATATATATATATATATATATATATATATATATATATATATATATATATATATATATATATATGTATATATGTATATATGTATATATGTATATATGTATATATGTATATATGTATATATATATATATATATATAATATATATATATATATATATATAATATATATATATATATTATATATTTTATATATATATATATATATATATATATATATATATATATATATATATATATATATATATATATACATATATACATATAAACTGATATTTTAAGGTGCATATTTAATCATACTAATAATATGCATGACCTTTTGTAAATAAATGAGTTGTTAGCACTTTACTTAAAAAATAAGGCTAATTTTGTAATGACTTTTTTTGTACTCTGTTTGAAATTATGTTTGCAAATATTTGCATTTTATCTAAATATTAATCATCCAGTTAATGTTTCATGTTTAACATGGTCTTAAAATAGTTACTAGGCTTTTCTGAAATTACTTGTAATAAATCTAATTTAATGCGCTAGTTACTATTTAATGCATTTATTGTTATAACGATTGTAATTGGCTTAAAAAAAAAAAAAACTTTTAGAGTGTAATCAGCTTTATTTGAATAGTTTAATTTGGTGTGCTTAGTTACTGTTTAATGCACATAGTCATAATTATTAGTTATTCTTCTGGGTAGTTTATTTGACATAAACTAACTTCAAATTAAATTGTTCAACATGCAAAACTTTTAATTTGATATCACAAAAATCAATTTTTTCTTTTTCAACCTTTGATTTTATATTACTAAAATTAGCGTAATATATTATACTAAAATTTATTTTAAAAATTGAATATTATATTTTATATGAAGGGATATAGCGGACTACATGCCTATGTAGCAGCTATGTTGCAAGTCATGGGCTATGATATAGCTTTGTAGTATATGATATAGCTTTGTAGTTTTGAGGCATAGGTACTTGTAGTACCTATGTAATCAACCTGATTGTTTGATATTACTAAACTGTTTTAACACTACCAGTTAATAGTGTGAAAACATTTATATATAACAATTTGAGAGCTGAAACCAGCAGTAAAAATGTTATATCTGGTACAACAGTATGGACTGGCACAGCAGCAACTATACTTACGAATTAATATACTCTGCATGGCTTATTCTAACTATCTGTTCCAATATTCGTTAACAAAACATATAATATAACTTCTAACTCAATTCATGGGTGTGAAAAAAAATGGTAGCGAAACAACACCTGTCAAAAAGGGAAGATCCTTTTAAAGGATGTATTGAAACACCACATCATTGTATTATTAGAGAAAATGGCTCAATTGTTGTTGAGATATTTTGAGATGCTGAATGAGATGATTATGTTAAATGAGTTATTTTAATACTCACTAATATGGATTCACTGTCAATCAATGAGCAAGTGCTCAAATGTTTACCGAGAAATGTCAAAGCTTTATAAGTGCTGATCGAATTGGGATTGATGATTATAAAGAAAGAACAATTTTGTTTTTGAACAGTTTCCAGAATGCTGTTTCATAGTTTGAAAAATTAAAATAGGTTGAGTAATTAATAAAATTACTTAAAAATTTATTATTAATTAGTTATAAGAAATTACACATTAGAAATTGCATTATTTAACCAAATAAGTAAGAAACTCATAAATTACATGACTTTTATAAAAACTAATATTGTTCTAAAAGTTTAATATAAAATTCCAAAATTTGGATTAACGAAATAACATAACTTTTCATTAATTTAAGAAATGATATATGTTCTATTTACAAATATAATTAAGAGCCATTATCTAAGAAATATAAGCAAAATCTGGAAGTGATTTCATTATTTTCTACAAAATATCTAAAAATGAAGAAAATTTGAAGACATCACTTCCAGAAATTGCTCTATTCATTAACAATTAACATTAACAATTATTGTTTTACCATTAAATACCTCATTTTTTACAAAAAAATTTAATAAATCTAATTTTGTTAATTTAACAAACCTAATTGATGTTTTGGACCCCAGTTTTTGCATCTTTATAATTGCTTTTAAAGAGGTATTAATGATATAATGCATAACCAATTGTGTAAAGATTGCAGTTAGCAAATATCTTATGTTAAGTGCTACTGCTCTGTGTAACTGTAGTTATGTTACTGTTGTAATGTTTTGTGTTGATTGACAGCTTGGCTTACCTTCCTATTGGCGTCTATCATTGAAAATAAGTATACTTAATTTCATTAATCTACCGAACTGCTTTTAATCATGAAAACCATGACATATTTGGTATGACTATGATAAAATTTGCTTAAATCAAATTCAATTTTTTATCTTTAGTGTAGTTAATAATTTTGCTCTTTGAATAAGGTTTTATAGTTGGCTTTTTATTAAAGGAACTGATTTGATCCAAAAAATGATATTATAATAAAGTAATTTTTTTTGAAAAAAACTGTTTTCTATTTTATTTGAGATGTTTTCAATATACGTGTGTGTGTGTGTGTGTGTGTGTGTGTGTGTGTGTGTGTGTGTGTGTGTGTGTATATATATATATATATATATATACACATATGTGTCTGCTTTGATGACATTAAAGTTCTTTATTAGAAATTTATTCTCATGGCGGCATTTTGACGCAAACTCGGTGTGTTTAATAAGCAAATTTAATGGTGATGTAATAATGTGGTATTTTTCTGTCAAGCATAAATTGTGAAATTTACCACCAGGTTTGAATGGCTCTGCTTGGTCGAGAATATTCCATTTTACTATAGGTTCTTTAGTTTTATTTTCGTAATCCCACATAAATTTTGAAAGTTCAGTGGAGTTGGCCTTACTTTCATAAACAAAAGAGTAATATTAGAGAATATAGGAAATTCTCAACCAAGCAGAGAAAATTTCCACAGCAACATCCTAATTTAGTAAGTTTTGAAAACGATTTAATTAAGCTAATTAAAAACATTTCATTTTCTACAATTCCAAACAATTTTCAAAAACAATTGCAAACTGACATAGTAAAAATAAAATCTTCAAGTAATATTTTTGTCTTTTATATCATAAACGTTATACTGAAAATATTAGTAAAACCTATAAAAAATCTGATATCACAATATAACATCATTAACACAGATGCTAAAATCATAGCAAATAACATAGGCATAGATGATAGGCTAGAGCGTAAATACAACATTCATTACCTTAAAAGATCATTAGGATAATATCCCCAACAATACACAGTGCCGATTAATAAATCCAGCTACACCTGAACTCGCAAAAGTAAGTAAAATTTTATTAGATGATATCAATAGTAAAGTTAGGATTGCTGCCCATGTACACCAATGACAAATGACGCCATAAAATGGTTCAAATCCATACCCGAAAAAAATAAAAAAAGTTTCATTCAGTACAATATTGATGAGTTTTACCTTTCAATTTCCAAACAACTTCTTCAAGATTCTGTAAACCATGCAAAACAGTTCACCAAAATTCCTGACAAATCACTCAAAATTATTTACCAAATCAGAAAATCTTTGCTTATTTGAGGAAATAATATGTGGATTAAAAAGTTGGCAGACCCTAATTTTGATGTCACCACAGGTAATTTTGATGGAGCCGAATTATGCAAACTAGTTGGCCTCTATATCTTATTGCCAAAGAATATATACTACCGGTCTATACCGGTTTTTATAATATCAGTGGCCCTCAATTGGAAAAAATAAAGAAAAATCTAATAAAAATTTATTTTTATTATTTTTATTAAAATTTAAATTTAAGACAATTTTAATCTTAACATCACTATCAGACCAAACTTAAAAACTGTAAATTTTTTAGGTATCACATTTAACCTTTCTGAGAACTCTTTTAAACCTTATAGAAAACCAGGAGATAATCCTTTATATATTAACAATTATGTAATGTTATTTAGTTAATGTGAATGAAAAATGAAATTAGAGATTATTTGAAGAACGAACTTAAATAGAATTGAATATCAACATCAGAAAAGAAAATAGAAGTTAAATTATTTATTATTACTGAACAAAAATTATTGAATTCAAAAGTAAAATTTAACAAAAAAATTTTTATGACAATTTATTTTCACTTCCTTTATTGATGTTCCACATGTATGACCACCAATCTGGTCATGTGATCTTAAGCTTGTTTGCCATGCTTTTATAACAAAAAATTAATTGTATCATGGACGTAAGAGTCAAACTATTACATCAATGATACATTTAATCTTTTCTTACGAAAAAATATAATTATTTCAAAATATAAAAGAGTTGATCAAATAAATGAGATGATGAAAACATCATTAGAGATGAGAGTTTTTATGAAATTAAACAAGAATATGTGATTGAAATTCAAGCGTGTATATCAATTTCTTTTTTATATTTAACTTCCTTAGGTAATTTATTGAAGGAATAAGTTGAACTTATTCCTTCAATAAATTACCTAAGGAATCTCAACTTAACTGATTAGGATCTTAACATAAAGTCCTTGAAAAGTACAAAATAAAAATAACCTGAATACCTAAATAACCTGACTTTATTGTTTTTTGTACATGTAATGATTTCAATTTATTATGTTCATAGCTGCCAAAAAAGAATTAAGATTTAAGATGTTCTGTATCTTTATAAATCTGGCTGCAAGTCGGTTCTCCTAGTCCATCATCCTTAAATGATATCAATTTAGTTATACATTGTGGACATTTTCTTTTCTCCAGGAATAACATTAATACCAAGTTTTTTTAATTTCCCAGCAAGTTGTTAATTAATTTCTTTACATCCTCCTTAGTGATAATTACAACTTTAGTGAGTATTTTGCAAAAAAAAACTCTATATATTATTGCTGAACTTAATAGTAGTGTTAGTGTCCATTCGAGCATGTTTGACACGGAACTCTTGATAGCCATTGCAACCGAGATAGTGGCAAGAAAGCATTGCAGTACATTTTGTAAGAAAATATCTAACATATGTAAACTTCAAATTAAGTATAATTAAACCATACTGAAACATTTGTCAAGTGTTACAGTTTGACTTTCACTTAAAAATTGCATTGCGTCAAACTCTCCTTAATTTTGATCTATAGCATTTGTTTCTGTTAAAAAAATTATTATATAGTTTTAAAAATTTCATTCAATTTTGTGCCACTGTGGCCAAGTGGATAGCGTGCCGAGCTTCTGAACAAGTAACCTGTGGTTCGAGTCCCACCACTGGCAACTTTTTTTTAAATTTTTTTTGATTATTTTAAAATAGAAAATATTTTTGAAGTTTTATAGAGATTATATGCAAGCTTATGTAACAATATTATAAACTTTGACAAACAAAAAGATTTTAAAAAAAGGTAAAATTTCAAAAAACATCAAACACTGGAAGAAAAAATTAGTTGCGCATGTGTCATGATTGAGATACCCAAGTTATTAATGTGCTCAGGTAATTAGTCCTTATAAGATGCGAATGGTCTGAAAAAAATGTTGCCTGAAACTTAATAAAGAAAAACTTGGTAAGACAGTCCTGCTACTCTAGAAGGTGCTACTGTGGAAGCAAAAAAAACTTTCTTTTAACAATTATAAGTTTTTTTTGCTACGTTTATTTTTTTACTATAAATATAAGATGCAGCCGTTTTTCAAAATGCCTTAATATGCTTATGACATATTTCTAGAAAAATGCAAAAATTATTAGGAGAAACTCTTTGTAAAACGTTTTTAAAACGAATAATTTTTATAAATTTTTAAAATATATAAATATTTTAAAAACTCTTTGAAATATGTATTCAATAAGGTTTGTAGACATCTAAACTAGCTTATTAATTTTATGTATAGAATATTGGTGTTTGCAAAGAAACATAAAAATCGTTTTTAAAATAAAACTTTAATTTTTTTTAAACTTTATTGTATAGGCAGGTTTGGCGCTTAACCATACCTTTATAAACAATATATATAAAGAAGTATGTTATTTGTTTATATATATTGTTTATAAAATGTATAAAATCCAATTATATAACATTTTATTCAGGATCGTATGTAATATAAGTAAACTTTAATAATTACAAGTCTTTTTTCTCAAGCTTTGTTTTGATTTTTTGTAGGTACGTTATTGTATTTAAAAAAATTGACAAGATTGAAAAAACACAAAACATATTGACATCCAAATGGAAAATTTGAAACTTGAATATTAGATTTGCCCCTCTCTTGATAATTTCTGATTGCTAAAATTACATCATCTGCTTCTTAGACCATTAAAAATGATAAACGAGGCTTTTTCAAAAATTGTTAAAGCCACAATTTTTTTGCTCATGTGATGTCACTTTGTGGCAAAACACTAGAAAAACAAACTTAAATTTTATAAAAAACCTCCTTCTATTAAAGATATATGGGATATATTTTTATATGATATATTATAATAAAGACAGAAACTACTTTATTTATTACTATTGTAATAAATACAATCTCTTATCCGTGAAATGATATATCTGTACCAGTTTTATACATTTTTATGCAATTTTATGCAACATAATTAAAATTAATAAAAAAATGTAAGATAAATGCAAAAGGAAACTTGACGCATAAAGGTTTATTTTGTGAAAAGAAAACTTTAAAATTTTATTTTAAATTTTAGAAATCTTTTTTGCTATATTATTATTTTTTGCATTAAATATATAAGCAAGATTGAAAAATTTCGAAGTTTATTACACTGAGGTCTTAACCTCCCCCACCCCAAAAAAAACTGATGACAGCGCACTTAACCACTGACCTATCAATGAAATGTATTTAGCAGAAAAATAAACTTAATTATAAGTCTTTTAAAAGCTCTATGTATGCAGGAAAGGTGCACATGTTAAGTTTTTAGATATGTATAGAAATGGTAGGTTTAATAAAGACCCATATTTTACAGATCCGGAAAGCTAGGATATATAAGAAAAAAGTATAGAAAAGTTCGGTTTGGAATAGACTTACAAAGACCCATATTTTTATGGGTCTGATCTCAGCTAGTATATATAATTACAAAAAAGTTTAAAAAAAGCTTCATGGTTAAGTAATAATACCTTTTCCTCTATTTCAATTGTATGAATTAAATGGATCAAAACAAGTTATGTGGATTGTGAAGTAATATTTGAAGTAAACATAATCATGGAAGCAAACCACTGCATTTTCATCACTTTTTATGCCAGAACGACTAATTATCAAGTCTTTTTCAACATCATCAAGACAAAAGTTTTTTGATATCATTGGATTTCAATTCATTTTTTATATTTTGATTTTCACATCATTTTTGATATCATTGGATGTTTGACAAATTTCTTTATTTATTAATCCAACTGAATATCTTTCTTTATCATTAATATTTTTATATTACTTTTTAGTTTTGTAAGAAATAATTTGAAGACTCGTATATAGAAAATCCTTCATTAAATTTGTAAAAAGTAAAGATCTTTAATGTGAAATGCTAACAAGTTTAAGTATATTTATACAAGTTTAGTATATTGTTTATATAAGTTTATATATTGAACTGTACCTGAGATTCTAAAATCTTTTTAAAAAAATACAAAAAAAATGTATATAATTTTTTTTTTCATTATTAAATAACAATTTTTCTTAATTTTTATAAGAATACCCCTGCAGTTTTTTTGTAATAAGTAGTTAAACTTAATTGAATAAGGAGAAAATTTTTCAGAACAATATCTTTTATCTCAAGATATAGTCAATAAAAAGTGTTACATTATTTTGAAATTGAATTTTCATAGAAAAGCTCTAATTTTTTTAGTGTTTTAGGTATCATTTTTGAGTTCCTCTCCCTAAAAAATAGTTAGGTACAAATTTTCAAAACTTAAGCAAGTACTTCATAAGTTAAAGCTAATTGTGTTATGTAATTAGCTTAAAAAATTAATGTCACTGAAAAAAATAATTAAAAAAGAGATTGGGACTGAGATTTGATATCTCTGAAACCATAAGAAGTCAGACACTAAAATTAAGAGTGAAGTTTTTTATCATTAATATAAGTTTGTATGCCAAAAACTATCAAAATCTGAGATGGCATAAATTGAGCTGGAATGACACTTATGTTAATTATGGTAAAACTTATTAAAGTTATGGTTATATGATATAATAAGATTTATTAAGGTTAAAAATATTTTGTAAAATTTATTTAAGTTGAGATTATATGGTAAATAACTTGAGATATAATTTTTTGTTATATTATTTGATACAGGTAATTGTGGTGCTTGAACTAGACTGAGCAATGCAAGCTCACAGAAAAATATGAAACATTTCTTTTGAAAAAACTTTTTATATAAAGGTGGATACGTAATTTAAAAAAAAATGAACAGATGTTCAGAATAAACACAGATTTATTTTAAGAAGATTATACACATATAAAACAAAACAGGACACATAAGTAACCATAAATATTTATTAAATACAAAAGTTTAACTTACTTTAAAACAAATATATATATATATATATATATATATATATATATATATTATATATATATATATATATATATATATATATTTCATAGATTAACAATATAATCAAATTAATAAATATAAAATGATTGGAGGTAGAAAAGAAAGAAAATAAAGAACAAACATTATTGCTTTTGTGTAATCATTAACTTACTGAGATAGACTTATTACCTTTATATAGATTTATATCCCAGTATAAAAATAAATAGAAAATATATACATAAAAATATATTACACACTATGTATCCTAGTCCCAACTAATAAACCCTGCTTATATTACTTTTTAGCTAGAGTTAATGTTATTAAAACTCCATATCTATCCAGGACCAGATCACTTATATCTAAGAGCCTCAATAAAGTTAAATTTTACTGCAAACAATAATAAATTGAAATTAGACTTCATATAGCAAATACATAATAACAATGTACTGCTATAATACAAAAACACTATGAAATAAAATAAAAAGTTTTTAAATAAATTAAATAAATTTATAAGAATTACAATTAAAGATTCATAAAGAAATAAAACAACAACAACAACAAAAAAATACCTTTAACAACAAATAGGTATAACAGTACAATTTATCTGACAAAAGATTGTCTCGCGCATAACGCTGACCTTCCAGAGCAATCTTTTGAGCCTATTTGTTTGAAAAATAAAATTTATTATTAAAAATTATATTTAAATCTTTATCAAGAGTTTTAATGTTCATCTAAAATAACTTGTAGCACAGCTCTATCAAATGCTACAAAATGAAAAGTATCAAATGCTATAAAATGAAAAAGATAACAGCCCTTGAAATAAGAAAAAGTTAAGGTCAACAATAAACTGCTGACCTTAAATTATTTTTAATAACACTTTCAGTTGGCATATGGCTGACTCTAATTTGGAGGACTGAGATACCAACACAAAATGATGACCAGCAAGAATTCTTAAAAGATGAGAGCACCTGTATCGGATTCTGCAAGGAAAATTATTGATGATGAGTCTTATTCCACTTTGACTCGCAACACTTATATAATATACATATATGTAATATTATAAATAAATAATTTATTATTTTTACCAAAGCAGCGAAAATAAGCTCATATATTACACCACCTTATAATTTGGGTAAAGCTAAAGGGTATGAGACACACTTTTACTGTACTGTTTGTTATTTTACTAATAATTATTAATCATATTACTGTAATAAATGATTTATAATCAAACTTAAAATTAAAAAAAAAAAAAAAAAGCATTTCAAAGTCACCATCATAACTAGAAACCTGTAAATTTAGGAAAAACATCAGTTAGGGCATTCATTATGACATATCGCATACAGTTTTTGTTTTCTAACAAAACAAAAATTCTTGATATAACACATAAAAACTACTGATAAAACATACCTAACAAAACAAAAATTCTGGAACACATAAAAACTACTGATAAAACATACCTAACAAAACAAAAATTCTTGAACAAATAAAATCTACTGATAAAACATACCTAACAAAAAAAAAGTTCTTGAACACATAAAAACTACTGATAAAAAATACCTAACAAAACAAAAATTCTTGAACACATAAAAACTACTGATAAAACATACATAAAACTTGATACACAAAATTACTGTTTATTACTTTAGTCACATTTATTTTGGACAGAAAAATTGTAAGATGCTTAACTTAATTTTATGTTAATTTTGCAATAAGTTATTTATTGAACAAAAATTAAACACTTATTTTTCTCTGGAATTAAAATTCATTTTCAAAGAAATCATAGGTTATGTTAAAATTTTCAAAAGAATCATAGGTTATGTTAAAATGTTAAAAGGTTAAATTTTTAAAATTTTCAAAAAGGATGATGAGGCAGTGACAAATGAGATGCAATGTACATGGTAGATGAACTAACATGCATATAGTAGATGCATATGGTGGATGCACAGTGTACTTGGTGGATATCTAGTGTATGTAGTGGAACTTATAAATAAAGGTATGCACAATAAGAAATATAATGTAAAGGTTTCATACATATACAGTGATATAGAAAAGTGTACGGAAATACATATTTTTCTATACACTTATTGTGAATATTGTATGGAGATATACAGAGTATATTTCAGTGTTTTTACATTTTTTTATTTATATTTTTAAATAAAAAAATTAAAAAAACATGAAAACCACTTATGCCAACAACCTTTTCATCATTTTGAATTGCCCACAACACTTTTTCTTCCAGATTGCTCAAGTCGCTATTAAATGGTATATAGTGCTTCATAGGTATAAGATCTCCATAAAAATGTTCATAATATTTTGAATCTTGCTTTAAAACAACTGAATCACCAGCAAGAAGGTAAGGAAGTCTATATGCTGCAACTGTACCATCTATGTTCAACTGGTATTTATACTAAAGTAAAAAAAAAAAAATTAATTTATTAGTAATTTATTTGATAAAAACTTAATAATTAAAAAAAAATGAGTTGAAATTAAAAACAGAAATTAAATTAAATAGAAGAATAAAAAGTGAAATAAAATTATTTACATTTTTTTAGATTTTAACAAGAAGTAAAAATATAACCTTTAAAACAATAAAATATTATTTTAAACACATTATCCAAAGATTTAGTATAGAAGTTTAATTTAGTAAAACTTTAATTTAACTTAATTAAAAATTTTTTTTTTTTTTTTTTTTTTTTAACATCTTCACTTCCAACAAGGCTGCAAGCAATCACTATAAGAGTTGGAAGTTACTGGAAGAGAAAAGACTAAATCTGTAGAGCAAGATAACGATTGACTGATGACTTAAAAGATTGCAAATTATATGAATCAGGAAAGCAAGATGAAGGAAGCGAATTCCAAAGAACTGATGTTCGAGGAAAAAAACTAGAAGAATAAGAGTTTTTGAAGCACTTAGGAACAGTCACAGAAAAAGGATGAGACTTAATTGAATGGCGAGTAACACGAGAGTGAATTTTAGTAGATGGCACAAGGGACGCTAGCTCTTTAGAGCAGTGCCCATTATAGTATTTGTAGAAAAGAGAAAGAGAAGCAACATTACGACGATGTGACAAAGGTTGGAGATTGGCTGCCAGAGCAGGTCCAACTATGTTTACAATTCATTTTTGCACCTTGTCTAAAAGAGAAAGAGCATCATTAGAAGATCCGCCCCAGATGTGGCAACAGTATTCCATACAGGGACGGATTTGAGATTTATAGAGATAGAGAATAGAATCTGGAGTAAGAAAGTGTTGAGCTCGATAAAGAGATGCAACCTTAGCAGATGCTAATTTTGCAATGGATTTGATATACGGTTTAAAAGAAAGATCAGAAGTAAGAGTTAATCCTAGAAGATGAATGGTAGATGACTCATCTAGTACATTACCATTCATAAATATAGGAAGATCTAAATTATTACGATAACGATTGGCCGAATAAAATTGAGTTTTATCTGAATTAAAGTTCACCAGCCACTGTGAGCCCCATGCTGTAGCAGAAGTGAGATCCTTTTCAAGCTCAGATACCCCCTCCAAGCAATCAGAGAGTGTAGGCTTCTTATCATGACAAGAGTAAATGGTAGTGTCGTCAGCGAATAATGCCACCTTAGATGTGAGAATATCTGGAAGATCGTTAATGTAAATTAAAAAGAGTATAGGACCAAGGATTGAACCTTGAGGAACCCCTGAAGTTACAGGATGTGAAGAAGAGTGTTGTCCATCGAGGACAACTTTTATACTATTTTTTTAATTAATTAATTTAGTAAAACTTTAATTAAGTGCAGGCTTTCACAGGAAAGCGTGGGATTTCACGTCTTTATATGACCACGCAAATTACATTTTGCTATGACGGTTTGACCGCGGTTAATTCAAAAAACGTTTTAAAAAAGCGCTAAATGAAAAATATTCAAAAAAAATTAAATAAATTACATCAAAACTTCTAAACAAATGTTTTTATATTAGGGAAATGATTTTAAATAAAGTAACAATTTACTGAAAATGTTTTTTTTTTTTTTTAATATAATTTACACTTTTATATATTTTTTTAATTTAAAACATATAAATTGTTTGTGTTCATTTTAAAAATAAATGTTACTTAAAAATTAAAAATTGTTTTTTTTTTTATAAATGATGACATTCTACAACAGCGACAGTCTTTTTGACAAACTTAAATATAAGAAAAATTAGAGTTAATGCATTTCAAAAGATAAACAAAATTTTGTTAAAAAAAGTTTTAAAAAGCTGTTACAACTTAATAAGTTTGATCTTAAATGCTTTTACATTATCGAAACGCTTTTTAATAAAGTAAAAAAACACTTCTAATTAATTTTAAAAAAAGTATTAATAAATTTTTTTTTTTTTAATATATATAATTATGTATTATTTTTTTAAGAAAAATGTTTAACTTTTGAAACATATTAATAAATAAAAAATATATTAAAATGTTGAAAACAAAGATTGAAATGGTTTTTTAATGCGTAAATTAAATAGACAAAGCATTTTAGTTTGATGAGTTTTGTTTTAGTTGCACTATATATACATTTATTTTTTTGTATTTTTCCTTTAACTAAGTATTTTTTTTATTTTCTTTTTCCGTAAGATTTTTTTTCTTTTTACATTTTTTTTTTTAGATAAGTTTAGGTACGTTTTTGTAGCGCATTTTTAAATTTTGAAAATATGTTAAAAGATGTGGTCAAATCGTTAAAATATATTATATTTTGTGTGGTCATATAAAGACGTGAAATCGCATGCCTTCCTGTAAAAGCCTGTAATATATCTTGCCAAAATCATCAGACCTACTATTTTCTGTTTAAATTTATTTGTGAAAATCAAATTTCAAAGCAACCACTACCAACTGTTGGGAATTACTAGAAAAAAAAGTCCAACCAGCGGTGGGATTCAGCCAGTTTGCAAGAACGATACACAGAAATATAGCATTCTCGCAATACTTAATTACTCGGAGTTGTTCCACAACAAAAATGACTTCCCTGATGAAGACAAAGCACAAATGATCTTACAAAATTACAAATATTGGATATTATACCGTATTAAGGCTTGGTCGGGAAACGGGAGTGATCGCTCTCGAATACAGACCACGGAAATAATATTTAGTTGCGAAAAACTGGTAAGGTATTTTAGTCATTTTGAGAAAATTTATGTTTATGAACGGAATAAAAAAATTTTGTTTTTCGGACATACATGGAAACATAATAATCTTGAATGTTCTCAAAACATCTTGGTGTGGAAGAATAAAAAGAATATTCGCGAAAACTAAAAACCTGCCTAATTAACAAACAAACTGATTCTATTGGTACAAAAAATATGCTGACTAAGCGAAATAAAGTTCTAGAGTATTCTGTTGAAATGTTTTAGAAATTTTTAAAGCAATTTTTATGATTTAATTTGTAAACAAAGACTTACAAAAATAATTGCGTTTTCAATGAAGTTATTAATAATCATTAAAGTTAAAAAAACTAATTATGTAACAAACATTTAAGAAGTTTCTGGTTATTAAACACAAACAATCCATTCAAAGTAACTCGCGGATGAACAAGCACCGTGCCTGAGGTCGCGACAGAACACACATATATATATATATATATATAGCAAGTTATTAGATATAAAAAAAAGTTTCTGGATATTAGTTTACTAACTCTAATTATTTTCGCTTAAGTTGCCATTCTTAAAAACTCATTATACTTTTTTCTGTTTTAAATACTAATTAAAATTAAAAAGCCCACTCACTAAATATCATCAGCAATATTGTGAAGTAGTTTCGCTTCCTTGTCATAAAGTATTTTTAATTTTTTAGTTGATTTAGTTAATTTAATTTTTGTAGTAATTCAATGATTTAATTATTTCATTTGTTTATCTTACTAAGAAGAATTGTTTTAAATATGTTAAACTTTTCAAACTACGCGAAGCATAAAATAGGTATTAAAAAAATTAAATTTTTTATTTATAAAATAATTTACCTTAGATAAAACTTGCTTTTTTTTTTCATTAGAAACTTGTTAGACTTTTAAGGGTCGGGGCTATTTTTATTTTGGATGCCTTTTTATGTGCCACAGCGTAAAAATGACTAAACAAAAAGGTCTTTTTGACTTTTATGGGGCCCTAACATTGCGGGGCCCAGGGCTATATCTCCCTCTAAACACAACCTTCCTTAATCTAGCACTGGAAATAAGACACAAGTATATAAATAAATATTATAATACACTCTTTGTTAAATAAATAACATTTGTTTCCTTTTTAAACAATTGCAAGATGTTACTTTATATGAAAAAACCACTTAACTTTTTAAAAAAATTATAAAAGAGCTGTTTCGAAAATATTTGTTCTAAACTAAATTTATTTTACTTTAATTTTTTTTGCGTTGAAAGGTATTTTTTTTTTTTTTTTGTAATTGTCTCTCATTGGTCCAGTTAATTATTTGTGCATTTTTTTTGCATTTTGTTCTCAAAACGACTAAAAAATCTGGCCAGCTTTTCACAACTAAATATTATTTCCGTGGTCAGCAATTGAGAGCAATCGCTTCCGCTTCCCAACCAAGCTTGCATATTACATCGAAATATTGAAGACAACTTTAATAAAGTAAGTTACTATGTTATAAATAATAGTTTAAATTGATACGAGATCCAAAACTAACAATGTTAAATAGAGTTCGATAGACATTGTGATCGCCACAGTGTAAAAGAGTCTGTACAAGAGATTAGTACATGTTGGTTATTTCTTAGAATAAATCCTGAAGAGGTCACTATACCATGAATGGATGCAGAAGAAAAACTTTGCATGTTTCAGTAAATTTTCTCCAATAAAATTAATGATTTTAGATGTTAATGATTTTAGAGACTTTGTTGAAAGTGAAATACAGAGTGATGAAAACCACGCCATATCATCAAGTATTAGAAAAGCCAAAAGTATTGTAAATACCATACCTGTCAGTTCAGCAGAAGCTGAAAGAGGCTTTTCAAAAACGAATATTATCTATTCAGATAAAAGAAGTAGGTTACTTGTTGAAAATGAGAACAATTTAATGACTATAGATTTGCTGGGTCTACCACTAGAAGACTGGGATCCTCAATCATCTGTAAAATCATGATTAAGACAAAATCTTTCTGCTGATAGCAGTCCTGTAAAACAAAAAAAAGTTGAAAATCTGCAATTAAAATCAAGTTGCTATTTGGAATACTTGAAATAAATATGTGTATGAGTTGTATTTGCTTTGTTTTTATTTTGTTTATATGCATATACATAAAATTCCAAACCTGTAGTACTTAGATGCATCATGCACCGAAAAACAATGGTAGTTCTAATATTTTAGATAGAACCAGTTCCTAAAATATTTGAATCCCACCATTGGGTCTAACTACATTAACAATGCGTTTTTGGACCTAGTCTAGAAGAGAAAGAGCATCATTAGAAGAACCAGCCAAAATATTTCAACAGTATTCCAGTTTTGTTGGAGTTAATATTCACAAACCACTGCAAGCCCCAATCAGTAACAGAAGTGAGATCAGATTCAAGATCAACTGCCTGTTCTAAGCAATCAAAAAGAGAAGACTTCTTATCAAGACAGGAGTATAAAGTAGAGTCATCAGTAAAAAGAGCTACTTAAGATGTAAGGTAGTCAGGAAGATCATTAATGTAGATAAGAAACAAAACAGGACCAAAGATAGAACCTTGAGGTAACCCAGAAGTTACTGGAAATGAAGAGTGTTGGCCTTCAAGGATGACTTTAATAAAGCAGTTTAAAAAAAACGACTTTATTATCTCAAAAACTTTCCTAGATACACCATATAAAGTAAGCTTACGGTGAAGACCAGCTTGTCAGACTTTGTGGAAAGTTTTAGATATATCAAGAGCAATAGCCCTAGCTTCTCTGCCTCCATTTAATGCATGATAAAATCTTTCAATCACAGCAGTTAGCAAATTAGCCATAGAGCTAGATGATTGAAAACTATATCGATTATTTGACAGCAAGTTATTTGACTCTAGATGAGATGTAAGGAAAAAAAAACTTGCAGAACTACAAGAAATGAAGTTATATACAAGAAATGAAGTTATATACAAGAAATGAAGTTATATACAAGAAATGAAGTTATATACAAGAAATGAAGTTATATACAAGAAATGAAGTTATATACAAGAAATGAAGTTATATACAAGAAATGAAATTTTAATAAAGAGCACAAGCTGAAGTTGTATTTTTTTGAAAATGTATTTTGATAAGATAAAACATTAACATAGAAAACTATTTTGATGTTACAGATATGAAAGTTTTATGCATTGTGCAAAATCTAAACTTAAGTATGTTCATACCTACGGAGAATGAAAAAGCCTCACAAAAAATTGAAATGGTGAAGGCCATACTATGAAAATACTGTGAAAATTTATACTAACAAATAAAAATATTACAACTTTTTATGCTACATTTTCTTTTTTTAAGATCTGGTGTTATTACCAGAGGCTTTTGCAATGGAGGGATGAATGGAGAGAATGGAGGGATGACAATCACTAAGCATATAAATTGATGTATTAGTCATTCAAAGTCTCATCACTTGCTACAAAGACACGAGAAAAAAATGTTACCTTTAATTTTATTATTGTCATCAAAAAATATTACAAAGATAAAAGCTTTAATGATTTTTAATGGGATTTACTTATTGCAAGTAAAAATCAATTTGATATTTTTAAAGATGATGATATCTTAAAATATTGTTAATACCATAATACTTTATAATGAAATAAAAACAAAACATTAAATTTAAGATAAAATAGAACAAAAAAAGTTCATACTTTAAAAAAGTCATAAAAAGAGACTCTGTTAGCAATAGGTCCATATTTCTCCTCATCATGTTTAAAAAAAAAGTAATGGGTAATTCCAACATCAAAATTTGCATTTTTTCGGAAACGATTTACTAAATCTAATCTTTCTTGGCGACTATCACGACCTCTAAAAAAAGCTATCGGCTTTTTATGATTCCAAGAAGGTCCAGTATTTCCTTGAATCGATGTCATGTCAAGAGAGACTCTGTAAAAAAAAAAATTGGATTTATATAATGTATTTTAACTTTGAATAAAAAAATAAAATGATAAAATTTATAAAAACAATTTGACAAATTTTTGAGACTTTTGAAAAGATAACACTACTTGATATAAATAATATACATACATATATATATATATATATATATATATATATATATATATATATATATATATATATATATATATATATATATATATATATATATATATACATATATATACATATATATATATATATATATATATATATATATATATATATATATATATATATATATATATATATATATATATATATGTATATATATATATATGTATATATATATATATATATATATATATATATATATATATATATATATATATATATATATATATATATATATATATATATACAAAGTTGCATCTATTCAAGCCATTGCGTACACTTTGAAATAGCTTCATTATGTGGTTTTTTTGACTTTTGATATAAGTAAAGTCACTAAGATTTTTTTTAAGCCAAACAACTAAAAATCAGATGGAGCTAAATATTACAAATAAAACAGGTGGCAGATTATATTGATTCTAATTTGATTAAAACAAAGTATCATGGGATCAAGCATTATTAAATAAGAAATTCAAAACTGTTACAATCTTTGCTTATTTAATTCTCGTATTTATTTTACATTCAAAGAACTTCAAACTTAATATTGACTAGTAACATTATCTTCCTTTTTTAAATTTCCCAAACGCATAACACCTGTTTTTTTAACATGTTTTTAGTTAAAACTTTGAAACAATTCAGTTATTAGAAATTTTTCTGGAGTTTTATCTTTGCCAACACATGTAGCGTTAGCTGATTTTGACTTATCCCCTGTAATAGCATTACAGCCTCCATCAGCTGTTTCAGAATAGTGCTAGATTTTCCTTACATGCCTTAACCCTATTCCTTCTGTTTTGATTGAATAATTTTTGTGTTATCCATAGTGATGTTAGTTTTCTTTTTTAAGAGTATTTCGATTGAATGATTGATTTTAAAATGATTAATTAATGTTTGGGTTTCAATTATATCATGTGCCACATGACGATTTTCTTTAATAAGTGCATGTACTCATTTGATATTCTTGTGTATATGTGGTTGGAGGGTATCCTGAGGAGGGATCATCTTTAAGATTCTCTACCATTTTAAAGCACTAAAAAAATAAGTTTATTTACTTTTTTTTTTTTAACACACATAAAAATCAATTTAAAAATTTTTATTCTAACCAATTTTTACTTTTTTTTTAAATAAAAATCAATTTAAAAATTTTTACTCTAATTAATTTTTACTGTATTTTTTAGCAAACAAAACACAGAGACACTTGATTATTAATAACTTTTGTGTGTGTTAGTACATCACAACGTTAAATGTTAAATGTTATTATATGAGCTTTCCTTATTATATGAGGTTTCCTTATTATATGAGCTTTCCTTATTATATGAGGTTTCCTTATTATATGAGCTTTCCTTATTATATGAGCTTTCCTTATTTCTTTAAATAATAAGGTTTATTAATTATTAAGTAAAATTTTAAAATTTTAAAATTTAAATTTTTTTTTATCTCTTCACTGATGATAAAGATGATGGCAATGTTAATGATTAACATTGTTACAATACATCATTAACATTGTTATCATTAAAAACATTAACATCATCATCATCAAATGATGAGAATGATGATGATGTTAATGATAACAATATTAATGATGTATTGTAATGATGTTAATGATGTAATGATTGTACTTTACACTTTAACTGTTATGTATTTTATAGAAATTAAGGAATTTTAAGTTGTTGTGTTTCGTGTTTTAAAATTTTTTTATTAAATTTAGAATATGGTTTTGTAATTAAAAACATGTATTTTTCTAAAAATAGAAACTTTATATATATATATAAAGTTCTGTTCTAAACTTCTGTCCTGTTCTGAGCTTCCGTCCTGTTCTAATTATATTGTGATTACCTGTGTATAACACAAAGATTTATATTTTTTGATCATCATTTGTTCCATCATCACTTGTTCCATCAACCAAAGCTATCATCACTTGTTCCATCAACCAAAACGCAATCTCGTGTGACTCACCATTCAGCAAAGTTGCATCCTTTTACTGCAACTGTTCCTTTAAGCTTAAAAAACTTTTATTCATATTTTTTTTTCTTTGAGCATCAGTGCCTTAGTCTCCTATTTTCATGTCTTTCTGACTCATACAATAATTTATTTCATCTGAAAGAAGAAATAAAAGAAGAGATTAAGATCGTTTGCTCATTATCTCTCTTCTTTGTCCCTGTTTTTCTTAACTTAAGTAGTCGTTACTGGCAGCCTTTTTGGGACTCCTAAATGATGTTGCAGTTACTGGCAGCCTTATTGGGACAACGTAATTAGTGGTGACTGGCAGGCAATTGTTGGGAGTGAATTCATTAAAATATAAAATCGAGAAATTTTAAAATTGTATAATAGTCAAATTTCTTTCTTTACTAAAAAAAATCTGACATCCTCAAATAACTACAAATTTTGAATAACTGCAACTTATGCAGTTTAATTAGCATTTTTATGATCATTAAAGTTTTTTAGTAAAAACTTTTATTTAGGGTGATAATGTTTTTTTGTATGTACATTGTTTATGAAAAAATTAGAAAACAAAAATAGTAAAAACTAGATTAAATCTTTTAATTTTATTCAAAGTTCATGCATTTAAATTTTAAAAATAATTCATTTTTAATTAGTAAACTAATAAAAAATGAATATAGATAAATAAATCTGTCTGTTAATCAATCATTGATATTATTTAGAAATATTGTTTAAAGTAACTTATTATATGCAGCAATATGAACCACATGACATATAATTGTCATGTAGTTCATATGGTCAACAAATATCACATGACAAATTATTGGTTCAAAATTAATATCCAAAGAAATGCTAAGGTTTTTGTTGAAAAAAACAAAACAACATTTTTATAACATCAATTATAATTTTGAAAATATGAATGTTTTTTGTACCTCAAATTGCATACCAAATTGTGCATAAAAAATATCTTTTGCACCTCATATTGCACATAAAAAATATTTGATACTGATGATAACCAGTCAGTAAGATGTCAAGTAAATGAAAGTTAAATTAATCTACAATATGTAGATTAAAATATGAAATCAAAAATGTCGTAAAAAATGTCGTAAAAAATGTCGTACTAATTTCAGTATTTTGAGGTAAAGTGAATGAACTTTTAGATAAGATGCAATTTTTGGAGGTTGATTAAAAACTTATTTTTGAATACAAAATCATTATTATGTACACTTAAAACTTTACTTTAACTCGCTTCTGTCATTATGTTACCTAAGTAAAAAAGTTAATTTAGTTGGAAAATCTTTTCAATGAACAAAGGACTTTACCTGCCACCAAAAGTCTCTAGAGTAGACTCAGTCAAGTCATATGTAGGCCACACTAAATCAAAAGTATCATTTGATCCACACCATGAAAATATTGGCATTGGATTAAATCTTTTAGTAGTTAAAGGCCAATCCCCAAGGTTTGTAAAAAATTCAACATCTGGAAGCTTTACCTAAAAATTATAATTACTGTAAAAGTTTAAACAAAAAATTCTAATAAGTTTCTTAATAATCACCTTACATCATGAAATCACTCAACAACTCTTCTTACTAACACAACCTCCCAGCCCCTCAAATCTATGAAAAATAAAAGCCATCAAGTATATTTGGAATTTCTTAACCATATTTTAATAATTTTAAAACCTCAAAAATATTAGAAAGATTTACCTTTCTCGCTACAGAAAGCAACCAAGCATCAGTAAACATTTTAAAATCATTTATTGTGCCATAACACTTCCGATACACCTATATACAAATAAAATAACTTTCAAAAATAATTTATACTTATAACACAATATAAATTATAGATAAAGCAATATTTAAAGCTGTTTTAATATTTCCCAGTATAATGTAGTGATGCAGCCAATATTTCCCAGCATAAAGCTTTTAAAATAACAAAAAAATATATAAAATATCTTTATAAAAAAAAATTCTACAACTTAGAAAATATTTCAAGTGCCAAGCCAAACAGTCTGCTTAAAATCATTCAAACCATTTCTGTTATATTCATGATTGACCTAATGTTTCCAGAGTATTTATGTTTTTTTTTAAAACCTTTCATAATTTTCTTATTTAAAATCTAATTTTTGAATTTCTAACGTCAGAAACATTTCTATGTACCTTCATCTTAAGGATACAAACAAAAATTTTAAGTTCTTAATTTACTGTCCACCAATTAACCCAAAAAGTAATTGAGATAAATATAACTTTCTATTTATGACTCTAAAAATAGAGTATAAAAATAATTAAAAAAAAATTGCCTGAAAATTTAAATTTTTGAAATAGCCATAACTTTACATGTGTACAAAACTTACAATAAGATATTGAGTTAAGATATTGAGAAAACTCATTTATCCACAAAACTATAAGATATTAAGTTGAAATACTAAGAAAATCCATTTATCCATAAAACTTACAATGAGGCATAAATTTGAAGTAGTCTAAAGTGAAAATTTTCAAAATCTTGCTTTATTTGATATGGATACAAAAACATTAAGTCATAAAAGATATAATATTTTCAAATCTTCATTGAACTGTTTTTGACAATCTTAATTTCTCACCATGATGGACATTTTTTCACCATGATAGACATTTTCTCTCCATGATAAACATTTTCTCTCCATGACGAACATTTTCTCACCATGATGGACATTTTCTTTCATGATGCAATGTAATCTTAGATTGCATCGTGCAATAAAAGAAAATATGTTACTTACATAAAATCCAAAAATTATGTTGATAAGTTTGAGTTATTAGCTCAAGTTCAACTTTTATCAAGTTAAAGGATATGGAAATCTGTTTTCAGAACGTGATAGTTTTTCTCTATATTGTGAACTATGCCTAATATAATCAGCATTTTGACTTTGGTGTGTTTTTGATTCCTTGGTTAAATATCTTATAATGATGATTACTTTAACAAGAGGAGCATTTTTGTAGCAAGTTTTTATATTCGTAATTTTATCAACAACGGATATTTTAAGGCACAAGAAACAACTCTGTCTGCGACATTTAAATTTTTTGAAGTAATTATGAAATGGATATTTTGAAGATATGTTTTTTTGTTGGACAGGTAAAAAAATACCAGATGCAACTATTTGATAGCATATTGAGAAACATGAACTTTTTCATTGTTTTCACAGGTAAATTCAGAAAGATTAGTTTTCTGACTATTTCTAGTATTTACTTATATTTATTCATTATTGACTATTTTATAGCCTTTCTGTTTAAAATATAGGTTTGTCTTGCAACTTCTGAAAAATTCCAGTCAGACAAGAATTTATGTTCAAACTGAATCCAGGGTCATCAAAGTATATGATCATTTGAATTACTTTTTTTCAAAATATAGACATTTTTTGCCCCTATTCACACAACAGAAACAGCTTCATCTCCTATTTTCTGAATGAAGTCCTGCTATTTGTAGGCTCATTTTGAATCAAAACTTTTTTATTTAATATTTTCTGCGTTCAACAATGTTCATTTTATCAATATTTTGACAAATTATCATAACTAACATTTTAGCTAGTTGGTCTGAATTTTACATATTTTTGACAATTTATAGCAATTACCATTTAAGAAAAAATTAGATTTTAAGCACAGACCATATGATTTAAAAACTGGAGCAAAAACACCTTTAAAAACCCTTGTTACTTTCTAAAACAAAAGTTTTAAAAAAATCTAAAGTAAAAATAACATTAACTGAAAATCATTGAAAAAGAAGGTATTAAGCTTTCTTAATTTTATTTTTTGCAATTTAAATAAAATTGTTTATAACTTTATATAACTCATAAAATTGTTTATACAACTTGTTACAAATTAAAAAATACTAAAAAACTAACCAATCATTTTTTCGTTTTAAATACTTTCAAATAATAAAAATGCTATAAATAAAAAAAATAAAAAAAAATTAAAAGAGTACTTTATAAAAAAGTTCTATAGCTTTCAAATTTCATTTTTATTATTAATCTTTGCGAAAATTATTTATTCAAAATGTTATAACTATATACCTTACATTTATATAACTTTTTGATAAAAAAAAATCTTCCACACATTAGTATGGATAATTTTTTTCAAATAGAAAATTATTGGCTCAAAATAAATAAGGCTTCAAATTATAAATAAAAAATTTCTTTTATTTTGCAAATTACTTTTTTCTGATTTTAGTAGATTGCAAGCAAAACATTGGATTTTGGTTATGGTTGAAACACTTTCACAGTTTCTGTTTTAGCTATAAACAGCTATAATTAATGTTATCAATTTAACAAGATTTTCAAATTTTACTGTAAGTAACACTTAAGTTTCATTGTTAGTAACTAACACTCAAGTTTCACTGTAAGTAAGTAACACTCAAGTTTCACTGTAAGTAACTAACACTCAAGTTTCACTGTAAGTAACTAACACTCAAGTTTCACTGTAAGTAAGTAACACTAAAGTTTCACTGTAAGTAAGTAAGGGAGGAGATACTAGATGTTAACAGAATTATTGTTTTCAGAAAATAAAATCTTTTAAAACACATACTTGAACTGAATTTTATTTGAAATATTATTAATAATAAATTTTTTTACTTTATTTTTCTTGATTGTATAATGGCAGAATGCAACATTATAACTCTTAGTAGCTGACTCTATTAAGTTTTCAAGATTAATATTTGGAAATGGCTTTAAATCTTTTTCTATTTGTTGATAATTGACTGGACACGCCATATTTTTCACCCATCGCTTTTCTACTTCAGGACAAAAACAATTTTCATTGTAAACCTTTCCTTAAAACAAAAAATAGTTACTAATTAATGAAAAATGAATATTAAAAATATTCAAACAAAATTATTGAAATATAAAAACATTTATTTTAAAGAAAAAAAAAAAAAAATTTTTGAAATTTGAAAAAAATATTTTTTTAAAAACCTGATAAATGAAAAGGTGAGTTTCCTACATTATCACCATTATGAGTGACATAAATTACTATATTATCATAAGATAAATGCATGCGATAACGAACAAGGAAAGTTCCATCTTTGCGATCAATCACTTCTCTGCCAATAGCTAAATTACTACTTATTTTAGATTTAAAATCTACTTGGAAAACTAGACCAGGTGATTTTGTAAAACTAAACAAAGAATAAGCAAAAATAATGGTAAAAAAAATAAACAACTTTATTCAACTGATAAAAATTTAATAATTTAACAACATAAATATTGCATCATTGTTCGTTTGTTCAAATTAAACAATGGTACAATAAACTCTCCAAAAAATTTTCTTACTTAGGCTTAAAGCAATTTTACATCACCTGTATATATGTACCAAAATGATAAGACTTTTTAATCACAAGTTGGAAATGGTAAGTCATATCACAGGTTCAATAATTGAAATATGAAATACTTCAGTCATTTAACCTGAATGTCTTCCAGGTTCAATAGAATTTCTTTTATTCTCTATGTATTATTATTTGTTACTTAATTGACCTTGGGAAGATTAAGAAAATCAAGTATTTAAATAAATATATATAAATAGATCATCAAGATCATATTTTAAAAATCTGGAAAATCATTTGGCTTAAGTATCCGGAAAAATCTGGAATATATTTTCCCTTAAATTCCTCTTAATTTTGCTTTTGCTGAGTTGTTTTTTTTTTAACTTTTTATAATTTTTGTACGAGTAATGAGTGAAAAAGCTCAAAAAACAAATGTATTACAAAAATATATACCTTGGATGTATGGAAAATATATACCTTGAATGTATAGAAAATATAATTTGGATGTAAGGAAAACATTTTTGATATCCAGAAACAATAAAAGTAAAGAAAAATATCCGGAATTATAGAAATATCTGGAAAAAGATCCCTGTATATTTGTAAATATATATATATATATATATATATATATATATATATATATATATATATATATATATATATATATATATATATATATATATATATATATATATACATTTTTGACAGGTTTGGTGCTGTATTCTCCACTGTAAAAACCAGATGTCTGGCAACTCTCTATATAAATAAATATATATATATATATATATATATATATATATATATATATACATATATATATATATACATATATACATACATACATATATATATATATATATATATATATATATATATATATATATATATATATATATATATATATATATGTATGTATATATATATATATATATATATATATATATATATATATATATATATATATATATATATATATATATATATATATATATATATATATATAGAATAATGAAAGAAAGGATCGCTACCCTATCCCAAACCTTCAGTCTATGTAGCAGCACTCCGTTGCAGAAGCAGGCTTTAAGATAGTTGATGTATGTATTGAAACCTCCAGCAGCAGATGATTAAAAGTTTGAATTACAGAAGCACACTTTTAAAAATATGCATTAAAAAAACCTTTATATTCTTAATAACTTTTAGCTTTTAGTACATTTGTAAAGTTAAAAATCTTAAAAATATTTTTCTTATAAACTAGTAAATTTACTTTTACTAAAAATTGTAATTTTATTTTTCCAACTTACTTTTTCCCGTTATTTTCTACTGCCTGAATATAAAAATATCTCACAGGTACAACAAAACCAGTTCTTAAACCAGGTCCAAATACTATTGAATTTTTTGCACTAACTTTAGCAGCACTGGTAAGTCCATTAAATATAGAGATAATTATGCTGACAATGATGCTGTATAACATATTTTAGTCTAAAAGTAGCAAAATACTTGTTTTTATTATTTAACTATATTTAAAAATTTTGTTTTACAGATCTAAATTTAATAAAAACTTTTCCCATTTTTATTATAACATTTCCTTGCAATTATGCTAAAAATACTCAGATAAATACGCTGTTCAAGTTAGCTTTTGCTAAAGCTATTTTGCTGATTTTTTTCAAGATCAGAACAATTAACAAATAAGGAAATTTACTTTTAAGTTTGTTTTTTTATTAATTTTATGATATTATTTTGCCATTCTTAATGTAAATTAAATATATGTACTTATTGCTACAAAAACTGCTTGTGTAGACAACATAAGACTCTAATACTTTTTGCAAGCTATGATGATGTTGAATATTATATTATTATTTCTTCTTATTGCTTTGATTGATAAAAATTAAAAAGTAAAACTCTGTTTTTTTATCTATAGATATGATCAATTTGTTAATCATTGTGTAACAACAATGGAAAAAGTTTAATAACAGTTTTTGAAGCTAACTTTCCTTCCTATTGGATTTTTTAATACATTAGTGAATACAAAACATGATCAGTAGAAATTCTTAATACATCAAATCTCATTCCTAACAGTAAGTTTCTTTAAAAAAAACTTGTTTTTTCTGCAGAAATGCAACATATCTACTCTCAGGTGCCTAATTCAAGGAGGGGTTGTAAAAGGTTGAGGGGGTAGGAATTTTTGTCTAGTAAACAAGACGATTATTAAAGAGGGGGAGGGAAGGTATATAAGTAATTATTTATAATCAGAACCTTGTAAAATCAACTTTTTTGAAGAGACAAATAACAATATAATTCTAGTGTAACTTGAGGGCAAACGGGCTTTTTATTTATTCATTTTTATTTATTTTTAATTAATATTTTATTAATATTATTCAATAGAATTTATAAAGTAAGCTATGGTGAATAATAGTATATATATATATATATATATATATATATATATATATATATATATATATATATATATATATATATATATATATATATATATATATATATATATATATATATATATATATATATATATATATATATATATATATATATATACATTATGAGTATTGGTACTAAAACCACATTTTTGACCAAATTGAGATTTAAAATTTTTTAATCATTTACCAGTAAGTCTCAATTTTTTTAAAGCCTGACTACACTGACAACTATGAGTACCTGTTGACAGAAATCTTGATCAATTTTTGCATTACTCACTCTCTAGATCTCTCACTTCCCGAAAGAAATTGCTTTTATGAATATTTACGAGAAATAAACTATTTGAGTTTTTGAGAAATTGTTGAGAAACCCACAATACGCACTTATACATGTCTAAAACCCTGTAAAACTTGTCTAAAACCCTCTAAAACTTATACATGTCTAAAACCCACAATACGCACTTATATATAATAGTCGTGAGTCTATGGTTTCTATTTGTAATCTTGTGCAGGTAATCCCAGACAAACCTACTGACACTACCAAAACATTGAACTTAAATTTATAATAACTTATTTATTCATTTATTTTATTTACTTTATATCCTTGCGGCGAACGTGACGTCACTTTAACTAACAAAACGGCTACCATTATGGCATGGGGGCAAACAAAGCGCTTGAAAATGGAGAAATGTGTTTTTAATTGTTCAATTAATGTTAATAGTCATCCGAACTTGATTTTTTATATTTTGCTTCCTGATCCAAAGAGAAGAAAATCGTGGCTTTATGCTTTATATAGAATTGATTCATCTTGCAAAAACAAACTTTGGTTGCAAAACATGTCTAAGTATGCTCAAAACATTTTGTATCTGGTAAGTTTTGTATTTGAATCGTCAAATCATTTGGGCACAAATTTTTCTTGAACTTATTAAGTTTTTTTCATTCTTATTCATTGTAAGTATGTTTCTCTTTTAGGAAAAAAAAGAACATAGTCTAGATGCTTTTCAAAATTTTGAAAAGCATGTTGACTGTGTTCCATTTTCTTTAGAAGAGTTTCTGCTGTTGTCACTGGTTTTAGAGAGTACCTTCGTTAATGAAGATAAAAAGTCATTTATGTTATTTTTAAATTGCCTAATGATAAAATTATATAAAGCTAAGACATAATATTGTTAATCCTCATACCATTTACTAAAAAACTTTATAAATATTGTTACGATGTTATAATTCAAATTGTTGTAATTAGTAATTTTGATCATTTCATTATTATACTGTAAAAAATGTTTTTTATTTATAACATTTATTTCACATATATTAAAAATATGAGGAATAAATATTACACTGAGGAAAATTTTAAGCAAAATATAGAATTTTTAAATGTTATTAGAATATCAATATGTAATATTTTTGTTTTATTTATTGACTACATCTGTAAACTGTGCAATAATTTCAAAATGATGAATTAATTGAATTCCATGATTCCTTTAAGCATTTGCACAGATTTATTTCAATATAACGCTAAATTTTGTTCTGGTAACGTTCAGCAGCTTTTTTAGATAACTTTTCTTGATAATCATAAAACATTTTCAAGGCGATTAAGTAATGTTGTACAGAAATCACCGCGTTTGTTTGCCCCCATATCATAATGGTAGATATTTTTGTTTTTCATTACGCAATGATCACGTGGTATTTTCGCCGCAAGAATAAATATACTAAATTTAGATATACTATTCTATTTTAAATTATTACTATAAATGCGATGGAACGATTTGACCTTTGCCCATAAAGTAATGCATTATGGTATTTGTATGTACGCGAAACCGGGAGGCTGCTTAAGCGCGAATTTTATTCGGCGCACTTATGCCAATTCGCACTTAAGCCAGTTCGCACTTATGCCAGTTTTTGTAACTTCTTCGCACATAAACCAGTTCGCACTTATGCCAGTTTTTGTAACTTCTTCGGTTTGCACTTATGCCAATTTGCACTTATGCCAGTTCGCACTTATGCTAGTTTTTTTAACTGCTTCGCACTCATGCCAGTTCGCACTTATGCCAATTCGCACTTATGCCAACGTTTGTAAATTTGTTTGGCGCACTTATGCCAATTCCCACTTATACCGGTTCTCACTTATGCCAGTTTTTGCAACGCTTCGCACTTATGCCAATTTGCACATATGACAATTTGCGCTTATGCCAGTTCGCTTACGTCATTCGCACTTATGCCAGTTCGTACTTATGAAATTCGAGCTTATTCAGAGCTTACTCCCCCCGTAGGTACGCCACTGCAAATAGTAGATATAACAATCTACAAAAACATTCAAAAAAAAACTAGTTTCAAATATTAATCTTTTGGTTTCTTCAAAGACATCTGTAAAACCTTTTATTATTATTTTTTTGTTTAAGCTTGACTTTCAGAGTAGACTTGTGATTCACGAGCAACTTTCGCACATGTCAAAAAACACTCTATTTAATCCCTCATTAAAATATATGATTGAAAATGAGATACCAGTTTCTAAAGTGTCTGCTTGAACAAAAATATCCTTTGGTCATCTTTTCCAAATAATTCCATTTAATGATTCATTAAATGGAATGTGGTAGTCAATACAATGCCACTATTCCAATGTCACTAGAAATTATAGTTATGACACCATTCGAAGAAGAAAACTCTCGCTTTTACCAGGTACTATCACATGAAACTGTAATACTTGTCTTGTTCTCACCAACACCTCGTTTAATCTCAGTAGCTGCTTTATTTATAAAGTTTAGAGTAACTTGCTTGTAAACAATTAATGTATCTTTGAACATCATGAAATGTTTTTTTTTATGCATTGGTGGGGTTAATTCATAAATCCACAAAAGGTTGTTGGAACAGCATGGCCCTTTCCTATTTCTCTCATGGCAATAATGGATCTCATATTACATCCAATTGATATTGCCCACCAGATCCATCGTCGATTTCTTTGCTAGAGTAAACCTTATTTACTCCATGAACAGATAGAGGCTGTACATATTAACTTAAATATAATAGACAGTTCTTTCTTCCTTGACAAATCTGTAGAAAGTTAACATAATTTTATAACATAAAACCCATAACATAATTTCGCATATGATATTTTTAAAAACAAAGCTATCCAACATGATGTGACACTGTGGAAAATTCCATACGATTAGGTGATGAAGTAAGTTTTGTTGAAGTTGATGCTGATTAACTAAAGTAAGTTTCTTTGATAAAGTTGAAGCATTAAAATTACTTGTCAAAGTTGTGTTACTTACAAAACCATTTACAGAGACAATATTGGGTTCTTACGAAAGAGAATCTAAACTTTTGCCATGAAAACATAGTTTTTTGAATAGAATGAAATTTTAAATAGTAACCATTAAGTTAATAAATACATACACATGACTCCTAGAAGGAATTAAATATATTATGTTTAATTAAGACACAGAATAATATATAAATAAAAAATAAATCTGCCAGCAGCAAAATCAAGCTTCTGATAAATTTTTCGAATATAATTATGTTTCTAATTTTGGTTATACTTTAAAACTGTATGTGAATACCCTGGGTTCCTTTTAAAAGTGTACAAATGATTCAAAAAAAATGAAGTAAGAATTCATTCTTCTTAAAAGATCCAAGTAAGTTTTATAAAAGCTCTTATAAAAATTGCTTAAATTAAGCGTCACAATTTTTTTTACCATCTATGCCTAATGATAAAATTATATAACTTCCAAACATTTTTATGAAAAACAAAAATCACCACCATTTTCTACGTATATGAAATAGGGGAAAACAGTACAATTTAAAATTTTGAAAATTTTCATATTTCAAGGTGTTAACTTTGGTGATAACCTTAAAACGTCTATCTAGGTGATAACCTTAAAACGTCAAATATTGAAAGAACTGAGTAGACTTTGGTGTATTTTATTTCACACCTTTTAAATATTTTAGTTCAAATTTTAAAAACTATATTACTGGAGTAAACTTTGCACTATTTAAGACTTCGAAGAAAAGATAACAACAAGTGCACCAAACAATGTTTTTCAACTAAAAAATAGACAAAAAAAAAGAAGTCGGTATTTTACACGTTTGTTTTAGCAACTAAGTAAAACATAAAAATTTATTGTTTTATGCAATTCCCAAAAAGAAAATATTGAAGTATAAAAAAAATATTAATTTCTTATAATAATTTTTACAAACTTTTACATCCTTTCAAATATTTCTTTAATCATAAACAGAAAATAAAATGTATTTAAACAAGGTAAAATTTTATTGAACCAAATTTCATTTTCAAATTTAGCTGATTGCTCAGAGAAAGTCTTCATTAGTAGTAGAAATAGGAGAGTTCTGCCTCATTTTCATTTTCAACCATGAAGTCAACCTTAATTTCAATTTTATTTTAGGTTCATTTTCAACTGAAAAAATTTGAATTAAAAATTTCAATTTTTAAAATTAAATTTTAAAAATTGAAATTTTTACTTCAAATTAATTTTATAAATTCAAATCAATTTCTAGTCATGTAATTTTTCGTATCATAAGCGCATGCGTCGGTTTATTTTATATATCTCTTTATTTTATATACCTTTTTATTTATATATCTCTTTCATTTTCTCTTCAATCTTTTTCATTTTCTCTTCAATCTCTTTCATTTTATCTTCTATTATACGTAATATTAACTTTCCATCCATTATATTTATTACACTTTCTGTATAAACCAAAATTTCTGAAAAACACTTTCTGAAATAAATCAAAATTTTCGACGCATCGAGATTTTTTATTTGTAAAAATGTAAGTGTTTTTTATATGTAAAAATGTATTTTTTATTTGTAAAAAAATAAGTGACGCCAACTGTGTTCTTTTTAGATTAATATGATGAAAACTCACGTTTATAAATATTTTTATAAGAGGCGTGAACTTCCTATTAAATGCTCATCCGCAGTGCACTGTGATAAGACCGTACGGACTTCTTGGGGCATCTAGAAAAAATTAACAACAAAAAAAAAATGAATCCTTTTCTTGAAGTAGCTCTAGCCCTTGCACAGTAATGGAAAAACATTATCCACTTGTGTCACTTTAAATATTTTATTATAACCAATATGGTTTTTGATCAAATTACTCTACGGAACATGCAACTTGTTGAAGTTATCAGTGGAGCATCTTCTCATAACAAATTCACCTTAGGTATATTCCTTGACTTGTCAAAAGCATTTGAAACCGTTAGCCATCAGATTTTATTAGAAAAACTAAAATATTATGGAATAAGCCACGAAAACTATAAATGGTCTACCAGTTATTTAACTGATCGAAAGCAGTTTATTTCTCTAAATGGTGGCTTTCAGACAAACAAACTTAAAATATCATGTTGGGCTCCACAAGGCTCAATCTTAGGTCCGCTGCTGTTCTTAATCTATGTCAACGATCTATATAAAGCATCAAATACTATATTTACTATTATGTTTGCAGACGACACCACTTTATTCTATTCTCATAGTAATATTATCTCTCTATTTCAAGTAGCAAATAATGAACTAGAAGAAGTATCAAACTGGCTTATTGCTAACAGCCTATCTTTAAACATTGATAAAACTAAGTTTTCCTTATTCCATTCTAAACGAAAGTTTCAATAAATTCAAAAATCCTTACCAATGCTATATATAAATAACACCAAAATTGAACGCTCATTCACAAATAAATTACTTGTTTCAACATAGGTCAAAAAAAACGCCGAAGGTTCTAATTGTCAATGATTTTTATAGAAAAATCCTAAAAAGCGCAAGAGAAAAACGCTAAAAACACAGGCTAGTAGGTTGAAACATAGTCATAGTATTTAACTTAAATTTAAATACTAGTTTATATATATAATACTAATATATTAGTACTAAGTTAAATACTAAGTTAATTACTATGACTATGGTTGAAATGAATTTTCCCTATATTCGGTCGAAAATCAAATTATGGCAAATCGGTTGAAATTAAAAGTCTGTGAAATAGGTTGAGAAAAAAATCAGTCGAAATAGAAAACATCATAAATCGGTCGAATTAAAAAAGGTCTATAATTGGTTGAAAACATTTTAGGCCTCAGTAGAACATATAAAAATTATTTCCACTTTTTAGTAGAAGTTTTATTTTGTAGATCAAGTTTGTAGGTGCAGAATTTTGTAGGTTGAACTATGTCACACGAAAAAAACTACCAGCGATCAGTAAAAAAGCCAAAAGACATAGATCTAGAAACTATGGATCACAATAGTGATCTGAAATGGAATGATGAACTTGCAAACGAACTTCATCGACCCATTGTGAAGCATTTCAGAAAAAGAAAAGTGATTTCAAATGGAATTGATAACATATGGGCTGCTGATTTAGTTGACATGCAAGCTTTTTTCCAAGTTCAATGACGGCATAAAATATTTATTAATGGTGATAGATGTATTTTCAAAGTATGGATGGATCGTTCCATTAAAGAGTAAAACTGGAGTTGATGTTGCTCATGCTTTCAATAAAATCTTTACAGAGAGAAAGTGTGTAAAATTCTAGGTAGATAAAGGCTTAGAATTTTAT